ATATATATATATATGCATATATATATATATGTATATGTACATGTATATATATATATATGTATCATTATACTCTCAATATGGCTGACTACTACCTAAATGCTTCTACAGAGAGAAGAGCAATTAATCTAGAGAAAACAAACAAAAACCTAGTGAAAAGAAATATACCGGGAAAAAAACCGTAGTCCATTATTGCGTTTTACGGCCCCAAAAGAAGCGACTATGTACATTTATGCCGTGTGTTTTCTCACTTTCAATTTTTTTTCCGACATATACATGTGTAATCCGCCCTTGGGCCGAACGACGGAGGCGTTTGCGGATTCGCTCTGCCTTTCCCTATCTACGTAATAAAAGAATCATGTATGTATAAGTGGCCGCGACCTGTTTTTTGTTTTTTTTTCTTTTTTTTAGGCCGTCTTGCGCCTCGTTTCACCGCGCTGCAGGAAAACGGGAATTTTTCCCTTTGGTCGGAATGCAACAACCTTCGCGAGACCGAGTATAGCTCACTCTCCTCGCAATACACTATCTATTTATATATATATATATATATATATATGTATACACGTTAATATTGTACCTTTGCGTGCTCTCTCCGTGAAAGGAGCAAGCTGCACAGAGGAAACCCGATCGAAGATTGGAGATTCTACCGGCGAAAACGGGAAGCGCGAATCACCACGCGTCGGATCCAGACAAGTTTCTCGCGACGGCTGTCAGTGTTGTGAAGCACAGTGCGAGATTTATTAACAATTATCGGCACAAATATTATTCAAATTTTGAATCTAATCAAATTTTGACAATTTTTACGCGCCGATTACATGAAAGCCAACATTCCGAAAGAGTGTGTTTTGGGAACTCGTTGCACAAGTCTGTTAATATTACTAATAAACATTATTGTAGTAGCAAAAAATTATAATCATGATAATGTAGAATACAATTTGATTGGTGCAAACATTGGTGTTCTTCAATTAAATTCTCGTTGTGTAACGGATTCTATAAAAAAAAAAATGTAATAAACAGTGAAATTAGAATCCCCTGAAAGATTCGACTTAAAACTTCTTAAGCATTTATAAAAATACATATTTTTTTCTAATCTCGATAATTTTTTTTTTTTATTTTTTTTATCGTCATTTTCTAGTCTCAGTACTTTTTGTTAACATCTACGCAACTTTATACACGTATGTATTCGGGGTTATAATATTATACTTTTCTGTCATGTATAATAAACTAGACTAATTAATTATACTTAAGAAATGTAATCAAATGTTTCCGCGGCAATCTAATTTCACCAAATAACATTGCTGGATACGAGTGAGACCCGCGTCCCGGAAGTAGATTATCTGTTCTTGAAGGTAAGGAGAGTGGTTCGTTCGCGCGAAAACACGACAAGAAAATGAAGCGCTACACGATGAAGACACGAAGACTCTAAAATCTGCGCGTATTGAGTAAAAGATAAGGCCGTGAAAGCCATGTTATTATTATTTTTTTTTTTTCGCCATCATGTGTGATGCTCTCCTGGCAGCGCGTTCTGAATCCTCGTACATGCCTCTGTCAACGACACTAACTACTTTCATCTTTAGAAATTACGTGCGCGCGCGCACATCAATACATATATTTATTGACTTTCGACAAAGTCGCTCCCGCAAAAAAGCGCCCGACAAAGATTTACTTATCTCATAGTGGCAGTAATATATGTGTGCCTCTTTTTCGCGTATCGTATTTAACGCCCAAAACGCGATTCTACTTAGAAATGGTAGAAAAAACTTTATATTGCCTATAAATAAATATTATGGACCTACACACTGGAATACTTCGACGGAGTAAACGTCATGGTCATCCTTATCAATATCAGGGAGACAAAGGAAAAGACGCAACAGACTTTGCACTCGGGGGAAAAGAGAAAGCGCCGGCCCGCAGGGACGACCGTACATAGCAGCCTCGATATAGTTTTAGTCTCGACAATCTGTAAAAATTGAACGAGAAAAAAAAAACTCAACTCAAGGATGCAACGTTTCCTCTTCCCCAACTCACTTCTCCGAGTATCCCTTTCCCGTCGTTCCTCCTTTAAGAAACATCATAAAAAGTCACAAAACGAGAAGGCTCTCGGCCTGTGCTTGGCCGTGAAAATTGAGACTCCAGATTGTCGAGCGAACACAACACATGCGATTCTAATTCGATACACGCTAAGTTCGAGATCAGAGATTACGTTACGCTACACACGTCGCGCACAAACAGAACAGCGAAGAGAACCAACGTCGATAAACATGGAACTGCGAAGCGGAGAGGTGAGAAAAAACGGAGGGAGAAAAATCGCGTAGAAAATTGCAGATAAAGTTGAAGTTGAAAAAGAATCGACAGTTTCGGCGAAAGAGAAGGGACCGAAGAGATAGAAACGGAGGAAAGAAGGAAAGAGAAGGATAGACAAAGAGTTAGAAAGAACAACACAAGGGAAAGAGGGACATGCTCCTCCCGATGTGTCGCGAAAGGCGTTCCCCCATAGACGGGGACGTCCACTAATAGCTAAGCTACCGGAGATCATTTGAAAACTGTCCACGGGAGTCGCAGCTAGCCAATCAAGATGCTGCGATCCTCGGTCTATCAATATTATCTACTTTAATTATTATAAACATCGACTTACTTTTTACTGTGCGAGTTCATATTTAGATTAGGTTCATATTAAGATTCTCTATACATACACAAATTTGCTCCCCTGTCTCCACCGTGTCGTCCTCGTCCCCTTACCCTCTCGGCATTTTTGGAATACGCGTCATCCCCCTCTCGACGTCTCTCTGTACGCGTTTACATTCCACAATCTACACGCCGGAAAAGTAAATCTCTCCACCTCAGCGAGAGAGACCAAGAGAGGGACGAACGCGCGAAGAGAGAAGACAGAGAATAAGGGGCGTGTGGTCCGCCCTCTCTCGCTCCCGCTTAATCACACTACTTTATTTAATTCTCTTTATATATCCGTAATGAGATCATCATTTGATTATTGGGTTTAATCCTCTTTGGATCTCGTCCTTAGCTCTCTTCCTCCCGTCACCCTTATAATATAACACCCACCTCGTGTTTCGGGTCCGATCGCCGCGGTAGTACGCAAGTTCGGTTAACTTTCTCTCTCTCTCTCTCTCTCTTTCTCTCTCGCCCGGGCTATCTTTCCTAAATATAGTTCGTCTATAGAATCGCAGGGCGAACTATCGGCACGCTACAATTTGAGAATAATTTCAGCATCGCGCGAGAATGCACTTGTACTTCGACGCTGTCTCATGCCATTACTCATCATAGTCATCATTTTTTTTAGTCATATATCACAATCGCATTATCAATTAGCAAATAGAAAATCAATTAACTATAATATAATTATCGATTGTAAATAGTAAAATTAATCACCGTAAATATCATTTATCATATGATCTGATGATCGATAATCCGATTTAATCGTTATAAATTAGCAATTATTAATTGATCATAAGAAGTCAATTTTAATTTATATCATTGTATAAATAAACCGCCGATCAAATCGGCAAGATTACTTTTATTATTGGAATCAATGTGTGTGCGTGCGTGTGTGTGTGCGTGCGCGCGCGCGCGCGCGTGTGTGTGTGTGTGTCACCTTCAAAAACTTAGAAATGCAAGTTAAAAGCAAGGATCGTCACTTCTTCCTCAATATCATTTGGATGGTCCCTCAAGAGCCGATCGAAGTTTGTCAAGCGCATTCTTGCATAGTCACGCACAGCAAACGCAAACTACAGTATAATACATTATGTAAAAATACACAAGCTTTCTTGTTTCGCAAAAACTTCGTCTTCTCGACGCGCTCTACCTCAATCGAATCCATCGTCCGATCACAAAGAGATCTGGAGTAACACGTCGTGGACCGCTCTTCATCTTCTCTCGGAACGATCCGTCTGCTCCCGAAATTTCCGGGTTATCCGGGAAAAGAAGTTGCTGACGGTCCGTTTGCGGACCGCCCCATTCACAATGGTTTCCATTTTCATCCAATTTCATCGTTTCAGGCACAGGCATGATCGCCGATCATACCCGCAGGATTATCCGGAACGACGGACAGGCGGCACCGGCGCACGTCTATCGTAGACGAGAAACCAGTTTCCAGCCAACGTACAGAGCCACCGTCGCCCAGAGAGTCTCGCGCAACGGCGTAGGGATCAGCAGCGACAGCATGTCGGTGGTCGAATTGCTGTTACCATTGGTCAGGCGTCGTCCGTTCACCGACAATCTCGATTTCTCACTTTCGGCATCCTGCAACATTAAGGGAACATCGTGCGGTTAATGTCACTGGCACAATTCTTATTAATTTTCTTGACTTAATCAAATATTGCTTGAAATATTCAATAAGCAAAAAAAACTGAAACATATAATCTCGAAAAAAAAAATGTAAATCCTTCAAAGATATGCTAAATTTTTTTATTGCATTTTTTTCATTGCACATTTCAATACACAAAGCAAACTAAGCGAAAACAAACAAATCAAGTAATTAACAAGCAGTTAAGTCGCAATGCCACTAAGTGTCTCGGTTAAAACGAACGGCAAAGAGAATTCTAAACGGGGAGTGATGAACGTAACAAAGTTTCCCCGATACTTTCGCGAAGATTTGGCGAAGGCGACCTGTCGTAAGTCTCACCCCGCAGTAGATCTGGGAAGCAAGTCAGAAAATACGAAGCGGTAAGGAAACGCCGGTCGACGAGGTTAAGGCTCCTAATTGGAAGTGTCCTAATTGGACGGAATTACCGACGATCCGCCACTCTCTTGCGGCTAAACCTTCGGCAAAGAAGAAAAAAAGAAGAAAAAAAACGGCACGGTCGTTTTATCGAGTCCCTTTACTTCTGTGAATTTACACGAAGAGAAACGACAAGATGACGACGACGACGACGACGACGACGCTGCGCGTAGAGGGGAAAAAATCGCGCGCCGCTAAAGTCTACAATGTCTACCCCCGAGTCTCCCTTGTTTCCTTTGCGAAGCGCACGCAGACCACTCGCGAGCCGAAAAAAAGTTCAATTAAAGTCTGCTTATGAACGACACTAATTACCCAATTAACTTCCATTCTGCTGCGCCGCAACCGATGCCCGCGGCTACTGGTGTTGGTACCGTCGCGCAGCCGACGCCGTCGCTGCCGGCGGGATTTCTCGTGCCGAGAGTCGTGCAAATCGTTCGCGCGCGCAAAAAAAACAAAAAACTTCCGTTAGGACGTACTTATGAACGATACTTATTGCCCAATTAACTTTGCACTACCCATGGACACACGAGTCCGGTATAATGATTCCGCGTATTAGTCGGCTCGCGAGGACTCGCCGCGTTAAGACAGACACGCGACTTTTCCGAAGAAAGACGCTTGATTTGCCGCGGTAATTTATTCGCGATGACACCGACAAGCGAGTTCTTCATTAAAAAAAAAAAAAAAACAAATTTAAAGTTTCTTATTTATCGTCACTTTATTTTTCGAAACAACTTGGTTTTGCGCGCTGATCAACAAAGGAATAATTAATATACAGATTATTAAAACAATACGTGAAAGTGGATAACATCTCGCGTTTAGCAAGAACGGATATACGCGAAGAGCCCATAAAAAATACATTACATCAATCTTAACCAAAGTCCGAGAAATTATCGCGGATCTTGATGGCGCGTTCTCATAATATCTCGCGTGAAAGAACAATCTCCTGCCGCAGGGCGATTAACTCCCTTCGAAGGGAGATATTCCCTTTGTTTCTCCATTTCGATCGCCTACTCCCTGTCGACGTTATCTCGAGACTCGCGACTTCCGATTCCCGTCTTTCGTCTCTAATCCACTCGCCGTGACCGGACGTGCAATAATAAACGCCCGGGGAAAGTCCAATCGTCGAGGTGGTCGGTGCTTTTATGGGACGGTCATAATATCTTGGGCAAGAGCGTCGTCGGTGACCCTCTCCCAACACGAGCGCGCGAGAGAGAAAACACACGCTCTCTCGTACACTCGCAATCACGCGCGGGAAAAACATTCGGTTCGTCGTCGCGATGCGTACAGGCGCGAGAGGAAAGATTATCTCGGATGTGGATGGGGCGGAAAAAGTAAGAGAAGAAGAGTAGACGAGAACGCGTCACATTAAGGGAGAGTTATGTGAGAGGGCGCGAGAGTTCTGTCGTGGGAGTTGTGCTCGTCAATTAATAGTGTCCCTTCCTTTGCCGCGGAATCACGCGTTGATTCCGTAGGGCGAAGAAACGAAGGGAGACATTCACGCGAAGTGTGATCTATGTTCGTTAATGTTTTACGCGTGCGAGAAGCCGCGGTCGGCCACCTGCGAATGTAACCGAGATGGACTTTCTCTCCCTTACGTGAGTCCGTTAGTCTCGCCGCGTATGAAAAGTCGCGAAGAGATATTATGTTGTTTTTATTATTATCCCGCGGCCGGAAGAAAACGCCCGCTCGAGAAATGTGATTCGCCATAGATTTATCAGTGGCGCGAACGAGCGTAACACTTTCACGTTTCGAATTCAAAAATTGATTTAAAGAAATACATATAAAAACTTAAAAAAAAAAAAAAAAAAAAAAAGTAAAATTTTACAAGCTACTAGAGTGTTTATATTAAAAAAAAAACTCAAGAGAGCGATAATTAATGGCAAAAGAAAAAAGAACTCTATAACTGAAAGCGGACAGAAGTGCATGTTGATACTCGGTATGGAAAGTAAACTTTAGAAAAGAGACGCAACGGCTACACCTGCTTTATGATGGACGAATCGTAAAAATGCAAATTTCCCCGTGATTGGTCGTATTGGCAACCGCAACCAATTCTTCAACGCGCATTGCGAAATGAAAATCAATATATATTCCCGCGCGCGCTATGTTTGCGAGCTACTGACACACTTACAAATCAAAACATAAGCAAGCAACGTGACCAAGCAAAAACAAAGTAAATAAATAAATAAAAACTCGCGCCTACTTGTTCGTACACGTCATGCGATCTCCAAAAAATAAATCAATTTACAAACGGCGTGATAATCGTCGAGCCGAGTCAAGCGAAGGCTGAAAATCGCACGATACGCCCGCGGCGATTTATCGCGAATTGTCGATCGGTCGAGAAAAAGAAAAAAAAATAATCGGCAATTACGCGCACACGGCTTTCGCGAGAAAGAGAAAGAACGGCGATGCAAGCGATTAAACGTGCAACGCTCGTCTCTCCGTCTTCGTCGCGCTTTACGATCTCGCGCGCGCGACTACTGCAAGATAGATTATTGTGCAACGTAATTGCGCGGTTTGCTGTGGAAACGGCCAATCGTCCGGCTCGAAGGTTTTGCCGCGGCGACCAAGTAAGAAAAAAAAAAACCGATGGAAAACAGAAGTTGCGGTCCCGATGCCTCGTTCGCTGCGCGCACAATCCGTGCGGCCACTCTGCGCCGTTAAAACGAGCTACGCCTGCTGCCTTATACCGATGATCGGCGGATAACATAAAAATGAAACGCACAAGCGAAAACAAAGTCGTCGAACGCATGTTCGGGACGAACCTCACGTACAATCGGGTGGTCGCGATCGTATAATTCTGAGATCATGACACAAGCGATTTCAACGCGTACAGAAATGAATAATGAAATTTATTAATGCGCTAATGATATTTTATTACTCGTCGCTATAGTTGTTAAACATCGGTTGTTTATTATTATTATTATTATTATTACACGAGGATAAACGTAGTCGAGAAAACATACATACGTGCTAAGTGGATACTGAATACTCGTTACTCCAACAACGTCCGTATTGCAGAAATTACTCGCGCGACTTTCACTATTTTTCGCGAAACGACCGCTTATCAAGTCGATTATTACATATCGCCATTACATCGTTAGATACACGAGAGATGAATATTATATAAATTATCGGAGATAAGAAAGACACAGAGAGCGCGGCTGGCGAAATCTCAGACGCGTTATGATAATAATTTTCTCAGTTTCCAATCAAGCAGAGGCGGGAACGTCGCGGGAAAATTCCCCGAGAGCGCTGCGTGACAAAGCGTTATAAATTTTGCGCGCAACCTGCGCTCGGCAGTGGCGGCCGCGTTCCGCGAGAAAATAAACCGGAGTGTGCGTCGTGAGTATCTGGCGAAGGTGAAAATAAGACGTAAACGAGAGTTAAGCGGTTTGCGTGCGGCAAGCGCGCGCGCGGGCTACGGCCTAAGAGAAATATCGACTTTCTTGCGTTCGAAGCAGCCTTCTCGCAGCCTGCCACCGGCTTGCGCCATCGCGCAAAAGATCCGTTATCTCACCGCGAGGAGGGTACGCTAATGTATCAATTTGCGCGTCGGTCAGATCGTTTAAACAACCGGATAAATGTCAGGCGAATGCGCACGTTCCGTTGCGACACGTGTGTTGCGGACGTAGATCGGCGGGAGAGAGAGATAGAGATAGAGATAGAGAGAGAGAGAGAGAGAGAGAGAGAGAAAAAAAAGTTCAAGTGAACTCTCGTTTAGAAGTTTTCTCTCAAGCCGAAATTTCGCGACTGGAAAATTCTCAGCCCATTTGCGAGAAGTAATGAGTTTCGCGGCGTGCGCGCGGTATCAATAATCCCCTCGCGGGAAATTGGCCGATTTCAATTTCCCCGAGCATTGCACGTCGGGTTATTTCGCTGTTTCTGACACGTTCGAGAGTAGGTAGACTATAATATATCCTACATTTTATGGTGAACGGGCCCCGCCGCTCAACCATATAATTCCTATATTACATAAAAACGTGACTTACAGGTGTAACCTTCTCTATATGCAGGGGTCAACGAAAACGCGTGTGATGTTGATTACGCCGTGCGAGAGACCGTGGAAGTGTCGATCAATCAGTCAGGCCTAATCAACAGAGCGAGATAGATAAAACGCGCGATAGATAGGAAGGAGCGGACAAGCGGGGGCTCCGATTGCGCGGAGATAATTGAAGATAATTTTCTCGGCCTGTGGCCACGGCTCGTGCTGCCATGCCCACTTAACTTTCACGTAAGGGGATGTGGCCACTTAGCCGCTTACATGCTCGCTTACTCTCCATGCATATGTAAAGCATCGCGCGCGCGCGCGCACCACCGTTCGGTGGTGTTTCCCGTGACGAGCATCGAACGGAAGGGAAACAGAAATCGTCTTCATTTCCGGAAATTTCGCTCGCGAAAAGTTTCCGTGAAGAAAAATCGATTCGGTCGCGAGCTTTCACCGCGTCCGTGTGATGAAACTTCGATATCGATTTTTATATCAAGAGAAACGGGATAGAGAAAGAGAGAGAGAAAGAGAACGTAGTATATATACATAAGAGCGATGTTGCCAGCGTGGTATTAGTCTGACATTTCAATTTCTTCAGGGGGCGCGCAAACAAGAGAAAAGCGCGAAGACGACCCTGTTGATCCTCGACGCGATTCGTATTATCAACAAGACGCTCTCCTCGAGTTACCGAGCCGGAGCGAGCGCGGATCGGTATCCGATCCTTCGCAGGCGGGCGAGACGAAGAGAGAGATTTCTTCAATTTCACGGGTCTGTTCGCCCCCTTCAATTACCGGCACTTAACCAGCAATAATTAGACGTTCCGGGATTGGGTATCACGCCGGCGGACCTTTAAAGCGGATAAAAGCGAGGCGGAATAAAAGAGAAACGCCCTTTCCACCTTGTTCGTCCTGCTCCTTCCCTCGATCTATCATCCTTCTTCTTTTTCTTTTTCCTCTTAATGTCCTCCATCCTTCCGCCTTTCTTTCTCTCAATCCGCCGTAACAAACAAGACTCGTCGTAAAACCGGAGAGAATTGTCTCGTTCATCGATACATATTCGATCGAACGACCCTCCCGTGGTCGTCTCTCTTTTTCAATGACGTTAAGGAATGGATAAGACTCGTATCTGTTCGTCGAAGCGGTAATCAGAGACTTCCCGCAATAATTGAACCAGATATATCGCTGTCATAACACAACACACACATACCAGTGTATAACTAATGTATATCACGCAATGTGTTTGTCCCCGACAGATGGCAGGAAATTGCGCGTTTTATTTGCAATCGAACAGAACGCGTATAAATACCATTTAAAATTCCCTCCTCCCTCCGTAGCTCACACGTGCTCAGGAAATGAAGATTATTAACGATTATTAATGAATCTTTGCTATATTTGTGAAGAGAAACATGTATCTACATCTGATCTGCAATATTATTTTTGTTTTTCTTATCGCATCATTGTAAACGTGTTTTAAATGCGTCGTGTGTTGATCGCAAAGACGATGAGAGAAACACATTTCGCGCGCTTTCGAAATATATACCTCGATTTATCTCTTTCTCTCTCTCTCTCTCTATCCGCTCATTCGTCACGACGTTCAATCGCCACTTTCTTTCTTCCGACCGCGAAACCGTCGTAAAAAAAATCCCGAATAAGGATCATAGCAGTCGGCGATACATATTTGATCGGAAGAACCGCCGTTGCGGTCGCAAGGGGTGGGTGGAGTTTTGATGAAGTGCCCAGTGGCACGGGGCCGCACACACGGGAGGCAATACTAGACGTCTCGACGGTGGTGAAGCTGATATTTATTGCACCCACGGGACGCACACATTCCCACCCATCGTCGGTTCTCTGATATAACTAAATTCGCGTTTATGGAGTCCGCGCGCGCACGACGGTAGTTTCTTGAGGAAAGAAACACAGTTCTGATCGTGAATCCACGAGGTCTCTGAAAGTTTTGTCGCGGAATGAGATACGCACTGAATCATTCGTGGCGCTGTTAAATCCTGTGGATATGCGGAATAAGGATCTAAATGCCGGTTCCGGAGACCGGAATCGATTTTCGCGCGCGGTCACGTCGAAAAGGGAAGGAGGCCAATTAGATCAGACAGAGAAATTGAACGTAGTAAATAAGATAATCGCGATAGGAAGGAATCCTGTGCGCATAGATAGCGAGACGATTTTCTAGAGATATATCTTGAGACGAAATTAATTTTCATTCGCATTCTGCGCGGTGAAATCCGCGCTATATATAATTTCGTTAATTAAGTAATATAATAATTCAGTGACTTTAGTGCGCGAGCGAAAATTTCAAAACTAAATACGCCGGTCGCAGGAATTTTCGTCGCGTATTCGTTACGTTTTATAATACCCGCGACGCAAGGGTGGCTTTACGACGAATAAAAAGCCTTCATGGGGAAGATGAAATTGCGACGCGTGGAGAGTGAAAAGTTACACGATGACTCCCGTGCGTGCAGAATGCGTGCGGTACAATTTTTATGCGAGGCGTTTTACACCTGTACTCCTCTCATCGTAAATGCTTTTGTATTACGCCATCAGCGATGGCGCCGTCGCCGTATATGAAAACGCGCGGTGACAACGGGAAAAAAATCTACTTTCATAAATTACGAAAAGAGGGCGTAAAATTTAAATATAAAACTCGATAGATGAGTACAGTAGCGAGTGCAAAATTTTCACACAAAGAATGTGCGAATGAATCGAAACACTGACCTTGGTTTTGCACGCATGGAAGTCGCCAGCAATGTTCCTGAGATTGGTTCCCATGTTCGTCCACGATTGCCTCTCGTTCTGGCTCGGATAACAGCAGCACGTGTTACTGGTGTTTCCCTCATTTTGACGTGTCTCCGATCGGAGAGTTCTGAGGGAAGAGCCTTCCGAAGCAAGGCGTCTTCGTGGAAGCGGCCTCGGACTCGGCAGCGGGACAATGTTGCCGTTGACGCTGCACTCGGGAAACTGGAAGGTCGCGTCTCTCATCGGGCTACTAGGGACGGAAGCTGTAACCTGGGGCGACGGTGGCGGCAGCTGTTCCATAGTCGATTGCACCAGATCTGGTAACGGTACGCTTGATAGTTCCTCAACGTTGCCGGATGGTAGCCAAATCACCACTGGCTGCGGTATACCCACGTGTTGTCGTGGCGCCCGATCTGCGGAACAAAAAATCAAAGATCTTCGTTTAAGATTTTTACTTGCGGATTTGTTTGCGGAAAAACAATCGCGGAAGAGCTCGTTTGGCTGTCGACAGAAATCTTCAAAGATCCGCGACGCGATCATATTACGAACGCGATTGACTCGCGTGTTGCAATTAAGATTCTTTCGCGCTTAACGACTGGTAATACTTGAATTACTTGTGTGACCGTGGTTTTATGCCTCACCGGAGAAAACATCCGCGCGCGCGCGCGCGCGCCTTATGACGAACGTAATAACAGTCGTACTCATATCGCCATGCTTCGTAACAACAATTGATTACACGCAAATTACATCACACAATGGCACACAGAGCTCTACGGTGATCGGAGCGCGTGCTGAGACGGTTACTTCGCTCGCATAAGGGTTTAATGGTGTGTGCGCGTGTAGCAAGGTAAAGGAGTCCGAGTATGGCAAGAACGACATTGTTGAGTAACGATCGTTTGAAAATTTATGATCCGACAACTTTTTTTCTCCGTTGATTTCGACATTCCATATAATACGACGGTACGAGAGAAATGTATTTTGTAGAAGTAGAAATACAATAACGCACGCGCACACGCACACACGCGCGCGCGTATCTTTATCTAATAGATGCTCTGAAAAAAAAATTCCAAGCTTCCTTTCAACTTTTATCAAGACGTATTTTATTATTTGTGTTAAACTTATACTGTGACGTGTTTGAAACACAAAGTCGTAACGGGTTATCGCGCGCGCCAGTGCTTATAAATTTCTTGGCACAAAGATCACATTCGTTAAAATTTGTATAGCGTGAATATATATATATATATATATATATATATATATATATATATATATGTTTATATCAATCAGCGTGCAACAAGCATCGATATGAGCGAAAGGCGTTCAGAGGAATCAAACTGCTTCCGGAGCTTAACAAACACAGCGTCGTATAATTTAACGCTCAGAGAGAACGGCGCGTTATCATACGCCGCGGCAGACAGCCTGTCTCGCGCGCGTCAGAATATTACACGCGCGCGCGTTTTTATCCCTCCCAGCCACGGGGTTTCGTAGAACAGTTCTATCGATAAAGGCATCTCTCCGCGATGCGCTGTCTCGCTACCGAGTGACAACACAAGCCTTTCGCTTTTTTGTTTATTCATCGTTAAGATATAGTGTTTTTTTCCTTTTCGAAGAGAGTTTTATTGTCGTTCAAACGTAATCGCGAAGTTCTATAAATAGACACTTTTTTTTTTTTTTTTTTTTTCATTCCGTAATCGATATCAGATAACACATCGAGAAGCGTCAAGAAGACACTCGACCGTGTGCGTCATTACGAAACAGCCGCGCGATATCATGTCACGCTGCTGCCGAGTTCGCAACCTTGAAAGAATCGCATCCGTTGCGACTCCGTTGCAGTGAAAGCAGCATCAACAGCACCGAAAGGTGCCTCTGCCGTAGGGTTCCAGAAACATTTAGACACGGCCACTTTTCATACCGCACACACGATAGATGCGCACGTACAGGGAGGCGATGCGTGACAAAATAACAATTCTACCGTGCCTCGCGGCCGCTATTGTCTCGGTCTCTCCGTGTGTTCTTTCTCTCTCTCTCTCTCTCTATCTCTCCTCTCTTGCGTCTTCACGCCGCGCGCAACCGCGCACGTGGTTGCATCCTTGACATTTCGAGTAAACGTCGTTTGTAGTGTGTGGCTTGCGGCTCTTTCACTTGTGCAACTTGTGTGCGCATGCACACAAGTCGTCGTCGTCGTCGTCGTCGTCGTCGCCTATGTTCGATTAAACCCCGCTCGCCGTCGCGAAATCTTCAATAGCAGCCGTGAGATAGACAGAGATAGAAAGAGAGAAATATAGATAGTGACCGCGCGCGTTTTTCACCGCTTGCAAAATATACGCGCGCATCGACGTCCCGTTGCTTTCTATCTGTGCTTTTCCAGCCAAATGTCACTCGACGAGAGAGAACCCGCGTGAGAACGCCCGTCTCGAACCTTTGCCGGAGATTTATAATAATCGAACTTGATATTTATTATTCCAAACTCACGCCGCGCTGATTTACGTTCTTATGTGTACGACTTAATACAGCCCCATGAAGAGAGAGAAAGAGAGAGAGAGAAATTGTGCGACAGCACTATCCGTGGGTAACGGCATGCGAAACGTACGTACATATCTCTTTGGATATTTGCTTCTAATTGATTTCGCTGCCTAATAGACGAACACTGGAAGGCCATAAATCTCAAATAATATACCGAAATAATATACCGACGCGTCTTGTAACACGGAAAGTAACGAGCGGTGATAAACGTGATGTATCTATGACGTACGTACATTCACTTCCGAACTTTCACGCGATGATCAATTTCGTCGCTATAAGTCTCGAAATCGAATCGATTCGTTATTTCTCTTCGGGGACGCATTATCAAAGGAAAGTATCAAGAAAAAAGAATTCGGACGAGGTGTTCTCGCTTCACAAAAAGAAAAAAAAAACACGATGATCCCGCGCGTATCGCGGTTTTCGTATCAGCTTTGTTCAACGGCGTGTACCGAAAAGCTCGTCGTAGCAAATCGCTGAAAAGGGCATAAAGTTCCGACTCGGGACATATAAAAGACGAAGGTTGCCCCGCGAGCAAAAAGTGCAGCGCGCACGTGGCCAACACCCGCATGCACTCTTCGTGGTCTCGTGTGTGCACTTCGAGCGTGTGTATATATATATATATACATATATATACATATATATATATATATATATATATATATATATATATATATATATATGTATATATATCTGGTTCGAGCTATGTGCACACACTTCGCCGGAGAAGGATAGAGACGTTGACCGACAAAGAGAAGAACACGGAGCAGAAAGAAACGACGCGAGCGCGCGCACGTATGTGTGTGAGTATACGAACGAGAGAGAAAGAGAAGAGAAGATAAATAGAATAGGACAAGAAGAAAAGAGGAAAGATCAACAGGCAGAAAGAAGAGCGAGAGAGACAGAGCGACCGCCAGTAGCGAGCACGTGAGTCACACATGGAGCGCGCCCTTTGTACATAAGTGCAACGCAACTTGCGCGCACATATGTGTGCGTGAGTGTGTCACAGTGTACGGTATATGTAACAACGCGAGCCAGTTTCGGCTGTGTGGGTATCGCGACTTGCCGCAGCAGTAAACGCTGAACTGCACAAAGAACCTCACTCAAGGCCGCTGCCGGAGGCTACAGAGCGCGCGGAGTACGCACGCGAATGCATAAAATGCATTCGGCCGCTGCTCTCCTCTCCATGCGCGCGCGCACGCAAACGCGTATGCGTGTGTGTGACAATAACCGAGCGTACTTTTTATCGCGCCACACGCTTTTCCGGAACAATGAGACAGCAACCAGATACGCGTAACTACGTCGTTCCGCAGACTTATCATGGATCGGCCGTGATTTACCGTTTCGGGCAGGCGTGTAATAAATCGCGCGTGCTTCAGCGTTTAGCTAATAATCATTTGATATTTTTCATCATTCGAAAAATCGTGTCCTTTTTTCTGCGCTTAATGAAGACGTCGAGAATTAAATTGAATTTAACACAATCAAAATTAAAATTGTGTTAAGGACTGTATAAATTCAACGCAATATTTTATAAATGACGTGACAAGAGCAAATTTAAATGGAGAATTGATATTTTGTAGACTTCTACAGTGTTGCACATTTGTTTCGTCTTTCAATATTTAAAGACAATAGAGTTGGCGAGCACGTCGTCGTATCGAACGTCGTGTCGAACCAGAATCCGGGATTTTGCGGTTTATGCATATATGTATTCAGCTCACACGCACAAAAAAAAACACTCAAGATGTCAAATATACATATACGTGTGTGTATATATATATATATATATATATATATATAATTACGCGTACTCGATTTCGAGGAACTCTCTTCAAAGCGCACCATTTGAAAGGTTACGCATAACGATGTGTGTATCGCGAATCGATCGCGAAGCGAACAAAAAGGTCGGCCTGTGGCGTATGCACGTACGTCGTTGCGTTTATAGCTGATTAATAGGGAGCGTCATTATCTATCAACGATTTTAGCGCGCCATCGATATTTGTCAGGCGCGTTATATTCCCGCGCGTGCTCGCGCGCGCGCGCGATATATCGCGCAATCGAAATGCTAAAAAATACTCGCTCCGCAATAAAGTTGCGCCAACCGCCGCGCGCGCGCGCGATTACGACGCGAACGATATTAGGCATGCATTTTCTATAACTATTCTTGCTCAACGATTGCACTCTCGAGATTGAATTATTCTGTCGATCACGATACTCACAGACGATTGTGCCGGCGGTATTCGGTAATAAAGTCTTTGTGGCGGTAGCAATATTGTAATGATGTCGGAGATCAATTAAAATAAATTACTAAGCGCTATTATAGTTGTGTCGTTTTTTTTTTGTTTCAGCACATACTGTGTTGAAAATTCACCACGTCGCGGCAACGAGAGCGCAATTATCAGTGTAACGTAATAGTCGTCCTCGGGATACACACCGTCATTATTTCACGAGTACTTGGGATAATAATCGAACAAGTTTCGTAGCGGGCGAAACTTGTCGGCAATCGATTCCTCGAAGGGCGATTCGCCGAAGAGGCAACGATCTGCGGGACGCCGCCGTAGCAGCTCTTTGCAGTGCGCTCTCTCTGTGCGACCGACACGTGCGCCGCAGGATGCGGAGAGTCGCGAAAATTAAATAAAGTGCCGGTTTTTCCACCCCGCGCTCTCCTCGTACCCGTTCGCTCGTGATCGTCTCAGTTTTTTGTTTTTTGCCTCGCAAAGTTTCCGTTATACTCTCCCTATACTCTCCGTTAGCGCGCTGTTCTCTTCGTCGTTCCTGATAAATTTGCGGAACGTGTGATTCGAGCTCGTCACTCACGCGCGAAGATAAAAGTCGTGCCACAAAAGAAAATGTAATTACCAGCTTCGTGACGATTTGTTTCGTACGTTCGCGCGAT